CGGCTTGTCCCGCAAGCTAATTAGTTGGCGGGACTTTTGGGGGATATAGGGTGCCTTGGACGAGGTTTTCGATCTTAGTGTTGGTTTGGGTGCTTTTACATTTTATCATACGTCAGAAAAAAAAAAGAAGAATCACGAGAGGTTTTTTTAAAATTTTTTTTTAATTGTTGGAGTAATTTTTTCGTGTTGATAGAAAAAAAAACAAAAAAAAAAAAAACAAAGTTCTAGATTGTAAGATGACAAGTTGAGAGGCAAGAAAAAAAGCACCCGTCAAAAAAAACATTCGCAACGTCAATTTATCGATGAATTCCTATTTGCGTATGTTATATACTTTACGTATGCATTTTTGTCCGTACTTCTTCTTTGTGTAGAAATTTTTAACCATTTCTATATTATTGTTTACGATACTTTTACAATTTTTCATGGTTATAAAATATAGTTTTTGTCGTTTGCACAATATAAAAAATTATTGACCGGTAGTTAAATGGCCCAAATTAGGTTCGCTAATGGTCAAAAGTCCTTAGACAGCAGATTGATATCATCAGAATAGCACAGTAATATTTCGTTATTTTTTTCTATCTCTCTAAGTGTACTGTCGTATCAGTTGATTTCCACTGCTATTATCATGGAAGTACGATAAATAACCATATACAGATATATACAGAGAGGCATCGGCGTTAATCTCACCGATGTGTTTCCACCAGATGAAATATATAACCAAGTGCAAGATTTTCTTACCTCAAGCCTCTCTCTTCGCTCTCCTTGGGAGCGTGTACCAGGGAGTCCTCCTCCATTTATTCATTATATTGACGACAAAAGGCCGCGGCCCCCTCGTCCCAAGTGCTCCAATTTCCGAGATTGATCTACGATGCGGGAGAGCCGGAGAAATATTATTACGGCCCGCCGACAATGGAACTCTGCTGCTCCGCTCCTCCTTCGCGTCACTAATATGCTTACCCATTCCGAGATTCCCATCGGAGGGAGAGGAGCGGAGACGACGGACGTATAGGAGAGAAGAGGCTTTGCATAATGTAGCCACCTATTTTCAATTTGTTGAGGTGTAAATTTAATCCATCCAGTTGGCGTTGGGGATTAATACCTTGTACGCTTCTTCTATTGCGATGCACACGCCCACGTCGGAGGGATGCACCTTTCCTTATCTCCCTCGTTGAAAATTCAAGATGCAGAGGCACCTGTAGGGTCGATCATGTGGATGCGCGCTTCGAGAGGACACTCGCTCGAACGACCTGTAAAGCTCGTCCTCCTCCCGTTTCGCCCTTTTTCTTTGGCAGCGTATATTTTATCGGACCTAGCGAGCAAAAGAGCAACTGCCCTCGAGTTGCGAATTGATGGGAGTCGCGTGTGATTGTGCGTTAATTCGGTTGATGGTGTATATGGAGCTTTTGGCCCTTGCACTTGATCGTATTTTCTCCGATGAAATGAACGAAAAACGAGAATTTTGAAAATTGGAACAAAAAGCCGCGCACCCACTATATTCCTGTCTTTAATATACGTTTTGCTTGCAACGTCAATTTGAATTTTTATGGGCAATGTTTTTAAATGTCGGTCATTATTTTACCGGGCAGTTGCGTAACGGACACCGGCCTCCCGGAAACAAAAGATCGACGAGACGGAGAGGAGGTTAACAAAAATTTCACTCCGAGTGTCGGGAGCACTCTAATTACGCCAAACGCGTTTTCGCTAACGAAGAGAAAATACACACAACTGTATGTATATATGTGTGACGGTGCCGCGCAGTGTACAAGGGAGCAGCCGAATGAAGGAGGAAGTTCGGAGGGGGTGAATAAGTAATTAAGGACTCGCTCGGGGATCGACTCTTTTTCCCTCTTTTCTCTCGGCGGAGAAAAACCGAGGAAAACCAGAGGGAGAACTCGAGCATCGGTCCGTCTAGATACATGCTGCGCTGAATGGAAACTTTAATTATTAGTGGCTATACGGCGCAGTGGATGCGAGGCTCCGGTTTACCTGTTGATATTATTGTTTCACCAACTTTTGATTTTTAAAATTGCCTGAAAATCTAATGTTGATTTTTAGCTGACACAAGTATACCCTTACTGTTTATTCATTTATAAAGTGCATTGTAACGCATGGTGTTGACGAGAATTTAAAGAACAACCATGTTTATTCTGTACCAACTGTTAGTAATACTGAATTGTTGAAAAAAAAAAAAAAAAAAAAAAACACTATCTTATACCGTGACGAATAAAGACACTCGGTGCCAAAGCATCAAAACAACGCGATGAAAGAAAAATGCGTTTATAGCCTCGGCTCGTGTTTCCATCGCGTCACTCACTTCGAGGCAGGTGCCGCGAGGAACAATACAATGGTATCCATTCCCGCTCTCCTCGCATCGGTATTCCGAGCACGTCGTTCCATGCGAAAGAAAATTAACGAATTATTTTCCTCGGCTCCCCCGGTCGATACGCGAATGGAAGAGCGAAGAAAACAAAATCGGGTTTATGGAGAGGGCGGGCCGAGGAGGCTCGATTTCCACGCCATTAGCCGGTGCGTGCATCACAGGCGTCGCCTCGTATGTTGGTCACCTACACACGCGGATAACGCCTATGTCGAATCTGTACCAGGTGGTGGCTGCGCGCACGTCCGTCGATTATTACTCGCGCCAAAGTACGCTATTATCGGAGGATGGCGCGTTGATTAGGCGCGGCCGTACATGGGGTTTCATCGAACTGTACACCGGTAGCCGTGTTGTGTGCTCCAAGCTCGGGTTTACCCTTTGTCCGGGCGCTGCTTCGCGTCTTGCATTCATGCAAATGTCCCCTCGTAATCAAGTGCAGTGCTTCGCTATGATTTTTGCCGAACTCGCATGACGCCGATCATTGGAAGGACAGAGAAAGTGAGGTGAGACGGAAAAACAACTAAATGCGCCCCCGAAAAATCAAGTCTGTGCATTGGAAGCCGCCCGTGACTCGTTCAACGAGCGCCTCTCTGTACCAGCCAGTGAAATTTGCGTGAATATGCGGACGTCGCTGCAGAGTTTCCGGTGGAGCGTGTACATCGGTGCGGGAGATTTTAGTTGGAAGGCATGGCGTTCGCGCACCTTGAATTATGTATATACGTGTACGCGCAGGAGAACTCAAATTTTGTGGTCTTTTGTCTCTCGATGCTGCTCGTGGAGTATATGGGCACATAGAGTCCCCCGATTGTAATTCGGAGAGTTTTTTTTTTTTTTTGGTCGTATAGAGGTACAGGTGGGGGAAAAAAAAGAAAGTTAGCCAAGTATTGGCTTCATCGTTTACAGTGAGGTGAGATTTTGTTGTTTACGAGGGCTGAAGTAACGAGGCATTATTTTTTAACGGCTTTGGGAACTTTTTCCAATAGTAACGAGGCAGCTCTTTAAAGGGGAACGGCGCGGGAGTAAAGTTTACAAGGCGCGTCGCTCCGGCTCGTTTAGAAGAATAATGCAGTTGCGTGGGAGGCGTCGTTTCTCGCGGCCGTGCGTATTTTTCAAAAGTGACTCCGCAACGCTTCATCGCTATTGAGATTTTACGGCTAAAGTTTACTTTTTATTCCGGCGCGCGTACGCGCAGAAACACTAAACGAGGAAAAATAGCTTCAAGTAGTACGGGTCAACCATCGGTCAGACGAAACTTTTTTTTTTAATTTTTTTTTTTTTTATAGAAATATAGCGGTAAGCCGTGAAGGTAGAGTTTTTTTTGTTTTTGCGGTCAGTGCGAGTAAAATACAATTTCAAAAACGAGTTTGCCTCACGTGCAATGCAATTTTCGAAAATCGAAATCCTCAAAGTGCATTTTCTCTCCCCGTCTGGATTACTTTCGAAAAACCTATAGCTCGACCTGTGATTGGATCGTGAAATGTTTTATTACTATTGTTATTCATATCATTGTAATTATTATTCAAGATACACGGGTTTTTAGTATTTGTTATTGTTTTTCTCTGTACGCTACATTCCTTTGTACTGTACGCTCATACTGTCAGTTTTGTAAGGTTGTGGCGATTCTGTCGACCAGGACTAAACTTTATGTTCTAGTCCATCGTCGATTCTAACGAACCGAATCTCCTCGTGATCCAGAGTCATTTCTATAGCACGATCTTCGCATGAAGCAATATCCTTGCGATCCTCATGAGTTCCTTGTATCACCGGGCCTGGGGACGGGGGGTGGGAGAAATCTTTCCTCCACCGACGCAAAGCACATAAGAAAAAAAGCCCTCCCTCCCGCATCACCTTCGCCGTATACAACGAAACTTTGCTCTCGTCGATCGATCGGCTCCTCGGCTCTCAACAACAGACCAAACTCGCCTTCCCGCAAGCTTCTCCCGTGTACAGCGCTGTCATCTACAGCGCGTACACGCGCCGGAGCGATCGCATCCAGCCACCCCGTACGCGGGGGGAAAAATAAAAGCCCCCTCACAACGCAACAATAGAGGAACGTCGGGGGGTAAAAAGCTCCAAGAGCGTGCAGCGTGCAGGAGGAGCTTTCCCCTCGAACGAGCGCGACAGCTCCGAAACTCGAGTATACATACACCTACTTACAGCTCAGCGCGTCCGACAACGGCTACACACATTATACTCTTTTCGATGTATAATACAACGTGGTGCAAGACACGTATACGCACACAAGGCCGAGGAGCCGCGCAGTCGCAGCTCGTCCGCTGTGCACCCCCGTGTGTATATATATGTATATATATATATATATGTACGCGCTTGGGAAGAGCGAAAGCGCACCATCAGGAAGGTGGTTCTAGCAGAACGCGAGCGTGTCTCTTCGAAGCCGGTTCTTCGAGCTCGTAAATACGTATATATACGCATACGTGTATTGTTTTGTGTCGGTACAGCATGAGCGCGCGTCGACTTTGAGGAGCGTTTGGTTCGCTCGTGTGAGTTTAACGTTAAACTTTGGTCGCGATTGTCTCCCCCTCCCCCAAGTGCTGTATGGAGGTTTCGTGGCTATTTTTTCGTTTCGACGGTCGCACGATCGTGCGGTGTTTGCGCTGCTGGCCGATGTCGTCGTTTGTGAGTCCGTTTGCCGGCGAACCATCGCCGGATTGGTAAGTGTGTGTGTGTGTGTGTGTATAGATGTATTGTTATGTTGTTGGCCGTACCCGCAGTTGAGGGTTTTGTTTACAAGGTATACGGTTTATTTGAATTCGCGGTCGAGCAAAGCCGCGTGTTTTGGTGTAGGTTTCGCTCTACTTTTCTTTGTCCAAGCGGTACACGTAGATTAAAGCCACACACCAGTTGTTTTTTCGAAAACGGTATAATATTCATTTTTCCGCCGGTTGGCTCGTTTTGCGAGGCGGTCGACGTCACCTTTTCAACAAATGCTGTTCGCGAGGTAAAAACAATACTTGTTTTGTGATTCGAGATTTTGCTCTCGTGCCTGGAGTAACATAAACCAGCGGTCAACCAACCGGTCCAACGCGCGGGTTTCATCAAGCTAATGGTGTGCTTTGAAACGAACAAATGCAAGCTCAAACTTTTTCATCGATGATGAGTGAAAAGAGCCGAGGGTGGATAGCGAACTCGAAATGGATCTTGTATGCAGTACAGATCGGGTGAAAATATCACGGGAGATGTGTGTAGCGCGGTTAAAGAGGATGACTCGTAATCAAGCGCCCGCTGATATATTTACGTGCACACGTGCGTCCCGCCGCGTTCGCCTTCAACTGGGGTAAATATTGTCGTTGCTCGAGCTTTAATTTTGACGAACTAGCTTATTTTTTTTTTTTTTTTTTTTTTACTTTCGAGCAGTGGTTCGATTAGATCGCTCGGTCAACGCAGTGTGGTGTGAAATCGTTGTGTATACGTAGTGCCCTGTAAATATTTGTTTGACCAACGGTGAAATTTGTTTTCCATCATAATAAATGGACGACGCGTAATTGAAGTAACACTTTTTTTTTTTTTTTTTTAAATTGCTAATGAGACTAGTGCCGTGTATGCATATGCCGTTTCAATTACACAGGATGTTAGAAAGATTTTAAAAAATGTGAAACTAAAATGCGTGAAAACGGCACTGCTTGTACTACACGTTTTTGGGTCGCTGAACGCGAATCCGAAGCTTGAGTTACTCTACATCGTCTTTTTTTTTCTCCCCTTCTTAATAAGTATAAAAATGACAATGCTTCGAGGGCAATTTTTAAACAACGAGTTTCGTTCAAAACAATAAGCGTAAAAAAAAAAAAAATTTGAGACTAGATTTGTGTTCATTTTAATTATATCGAGTGGCGTTGTTTTATCGATCACGTAGTAATCGCCGCAGCTTAGATTGTAAAATTTTGCCAAAATTTAAGTACGTGCACTGATGAAATAATCCCTTGCACTTAAACTTTGGCAATCCTTTGAAAAACTTTGATGCCTCGGTCGATTTCACAAAATTGAATTATCAATTTCCCAGAATCTCCTCAAAACTTCCCGGAAGCACGACGGAAGTTGAGATATCCCAAGCGTACCTATACATCGGCGCCATCCAAATGAGACGCGAAAGTGGGAGCGGCTCGACCTTTTGTCTTTCGCCGGCTTAATCAAATCGAGCCCCGTTTCGGCAAATTAGCGCCCCCCCCCCGCTCCGACTCTGCTATCAAAATCCGCCTAGGCTTCGTGTGCGTTGCTTGCTGCTCGCGAGCGCGCCCGAAATAACCTGTTTCTCTTCAGGCGCGGCACTTGAGAAAATATATAAGCCGAGGAAACGTGACTGGGGAACGACGTTGATGTCTATTCGCCTTTTCTTTCCAATTTTGATGCGCCAAATACGTTTTATGAACGATTTTTTTGCTATTAGTGAGGATTTTCTTATGCTTAGCAGTTCAAAGTATATATCAATTCAGACTTGGGCATGGAGGCTTGAAAAAATTTGTTTTCAGTTATAACTTGTTGCTACGAGTGCAATGCATCATTTGTGCTAGAAAAACTTTTGTTGCAGTGCTCGACGAAAACAATGCCTTGCAGAATAAAAGGTCAAAGTACTTAAGCGTTTCTCTTTACGTACTTTGAAATAAAAATAATTTTGCTTGCCTGGGACAAAACAAATTTTACGTAATATTGCATTGTGAACGCAGGGACGAATAAAAAATTTTTTTCAGCCAACAAAATAGACTTTGTTGCAGAAAAAAAGATATAGTCTTTCAAAATTCTGCGAAATACTGGTGCCCAAGTCTAAGTATCATTGAGTTCTAAAGACTTTTAAATCTGAAAAAAAAAAAAATAAAATAAAATAAAGAGACAATATTTGCGAAAACACAGATACCCTCGCTCGTGGAAAACTATATATTCCTTCCGTCACCAAACATACAAAGGTCCCTTCATATTTGTCAATTCTCCTTTTTTTTTTTTACCCTTCGTGCAGACACGTATATGCGGCTATGAAGACACATAAAAAAAACCTTTGGGCGCGTCGCTCGTTACATTTGGCAAATGAGAAGTGCAAGCGACTCGCGCGGCTTAATACACTGCATCACGTAACGCACCCGCGTCGGTCACGTTTCGTACAACACACTCATGTCCCCCCCATCGAATGCGCGCCACGTCGATTCAACTCAAAATACACGCGCCTCGTGATTGTTTGAAAATACACAGTAGCTCTCTACTTTCGCGCGCCATCGCGTTACACAAGGAAATATTATATTATAGTCTCGAGTTAAAAATAAAACCAACTTAACGCGCACTCCTCTCCACCCAGACACTCTGCGTCGGGCTGAGTAAACGCGCCGTTGCTCATATTCCGCTGATAATAGCTTCACCTCGCGCTTGTACAGCACCATGGGATGTCATCCAATTTCACTTACCTGCATGCACATGTATACGTATATATACTCCGCGTGAAGACCGCACGTGGTCGCGGAATTGTGTTTATCTTTGATTTTTCTTTCCCCGTGGAAGCATCTCGCGTTGACCTATTTCGTGCTTGCCCTTTGGTACTCGATGCGTGGTGGTACGTTTATAGTATATATATATGGAAAAAAATTAGGTGAGTAAGAAAGCGAGTCTCGGTGATGTGGATTAGAGGAAGAAAAAAGAAAAATAGTTGGCAAATGGAGTTGGTTGTGATGATTTTCCATGCCCGTTTCGAATTTCAAATTTAAAGCTCCCTTCAGCCGGATACCCGAGAAGCCGTCATTTCCTGGGTTAATGTATTCCATAGTGTGGGTGTCTGGTACTTTCCTTTCCGCATAATACATACCGAGGCTTTTTACATTAGCTCCGCAGCATTTCGCGTGGATCATAATTTCAAAAGAAAAATTTTTAATTCACGAGGTGTACATTTTTACAAGATGGTTACAATAAATATACGCTCGGTCGAAATGAAACGGAGAATAGTGTCGTGTCATGGTAATACTTCAGCTCGATGGTATTGGCGTCGAGACGATTCAGTGCGTCTTTATCGGGAGGCTCGAGTCGGCCGACACCACACGTGCATGGCGTCATCGAATTGATGGTAAAAATCATCGAGTGCAGGGCCTGTATATGTTTTATTTGCCATTTTTGATGTGATTTGTGTTGTTTTGAAGGAAATAAAAAAACTAGAGGGGCGTTATCGGAGTGAATGATGATGACTTGGGGACCGGGACTTTGAGTCGGGATCGAAGAAACGCTTCCCCCCAGACTAATGCGATTCTTATCCTTATCGGTGTGAAAAATGGTCTTTTCCTTTTTCTTTCGTCCAACGATAACAATTGAAACGATGGGATTTCTTCCCCCCTCCCCCACCCCTCAATAACAACGAAGCCATTAATATCGTCTTGTTTTACGCGCGCACATTTCATTTTTAATACCTTGGAAAAGTGCAGACTCTGGGATGTTTTACGCCCTGCGCTTTCGGGTATTTTGTGCGATGAAAAGGGGAAAAAAAAGGTGTCCTTCCTCGAAAAATTGCTCATTGTTTTCGTGAAAACCGGCCAGCTTCGCGCCCCAATTCGCGATAATTAACGAAATCGTTCGCCGAAATCCTCGAAAATAACGCGCACCAAGCCACCCCACTCGAAACGAGCCGCACTTGTCGACGTGTATACACGTGCACAGCGGGGCTTATGAAACTAAAGCCCCTTGCCGCTGTAACGATTTCCCGATAAATGCCGAGTATTGTTGAGCCCCGTCCAATCGGGGCAAATGAAGCGACCGGGTGAATTTGCGATACATCGAGTCGAAATAATTAATGATTGCTCGTCATATTATGAGTACAACCTATGAGAGAGGCATTACAGTTAATTGGAAAAATCACACCATCACAACCAACGAATTATCGTGTCGTTCAAGTTATACAGCCGTCCATTAAATTAATAAGAAAGAAAAGCCAGCTGTGCTCATTTATGCGCTGTTACCGTACTTGTAGCATTATAATTATCGGATGATACATTGCGTGGGTGTATTGTTGAGGTCAAATGAACTGTCCGACGAGCAATTAATCATAATGAAATTCATATACGAGTCAAAGTGAATCGAGCCAAGGTCATGAGCTATGATGGTTTTAATGAATAGGTTGCACCGCGCGGTAGGTGTTTGTAACTTAATTGATTAGTTCGGACAAAGGGCTTGGATAATAAGCGTACATGCGCGTGTGAACCCAACGCAGGGCAATTTTCTACTCTGCGTGAAAGCTAAACAGTGCCTGCAGTTGAAAGAAAAAGGGGAAGCCCGGCAAGTCCGAGGACAAAGGGCCGTCCGACCGTACCCGTGTTTATACTACTGCGGTTGCGTTTCCCGTGTGTAACTATAATATCGTCACCGCAAAAACGACTTTGCTCTTTTCGCTCCGCTTGAACATGAAATTTTCTCGCTTCTTGGAGGTGGCCTTTTTGTGGCCTGGTTATGGATATTTTTACTGCGTTTGTGTTTCCAACGAGCAACTTTTACCGCGTGTACGTACAGCGTGTTTACTCCAAGCGAAGACGGAGAGGCGTAAATCTTGTACTTGGATTGATGATGGATGTTGGAAATGTTTACTTTTCGTATGGGGTGTTTTTTTTTTTTTGGCTCCTCCTTACCAAGAAAACAAAAATTCCGTACCGAATAGGTATAAGAACATTTTCACTGTTTATTCTGTAAAAGTATACAA